GAGGTAGCACCTGAAGGAGAAGGAAGGCATCAGTCAGAAGGCAACAGGAAACAGATCCCACCTGACCAGGGTAGCCCTCTACTGGACCCCACAGACCAAGTTCCCTGCCCCCAGCCAAGGAGCTCAGCACCCAGGCCTGGAACCTGGAGGGCCCAGCTCTCCTCCCCTGGGCCCGCCCCATCTTCACGCCCTACTGCCTGGAATCTGAGGCAGCCCTTGTTCTCTGGCAGGAGGGGAATTTAATGCCGCTGAGGGATGGCAGGTCGACAGGCGAAGAGATGAAAGTGTCCGCTCTGGCAGCTGGGTCGGTGGCCTCAGGGGACCCTCCCGCACCTCCTCCACCCTCCCCAGCCATCTCCACTCAGTGGCAGGAAGAGCCTTCAAGGGGCCCTCAGGGGGCTGTGGACCTCTGGGACAGGACTCCCTGGACTGGAGGGCTGTGTGACCTTGGGGGGGGAAGCTGGACCTCTCTGTGCCATTAGCTGCCTGCAGGGTGCCTGGGCCAAGGTCTGTATTATTAACATGCTGGTGCCTGCCCGTGTCCCTCCCCCCTTGGCTGTCCTCCCCCACCTTGGCTGTTGTCAGCAGTGCCTGTCGGCAAAGGGCTGCGGTGGGCAGTGGGGGGCTGGGGCGGGCTGCACAGTGACCTCCATCCATCCATCCATCTCTGGCACCTGGGAGGGAGTGGGAGCTGATGCTGCAATCAGGTCGGACTGAAGCAGCCTTGACTACAGCAGAGTCGTGCGGCCATTACCACCTCCTTTGTGACAGCAGAGCTAGGCTTAGCCTGGGAATAGAGGCTGGGGCCCCAAGCCAGAATCTGCCCCACTGGGCCACCAACTCCATGTTCCTATTGGAGATACTGCGTCTTGACACTGTGAGGTGACCTTGTTGTTCTGTAACGCGCCCTGCCAAGTGCCCCACCCCACAACCTCTGGTTATGCTGCCCTTCTTTCTTGGGAACAGAGAGGCAAGGGCATTTGGTCAAGGTCATCCAGCAAGGGCATGGGAACGCGTGTGCACGCACGCCCCTGCACACACACACACACACACACACACACACACACACACACACACAGAGTGATTTTGACACATGGTGATCAAGAAGCGAAGAGGGCCAATGTGTCCAGACTCCCAGACCCCTTTTCCTTCCATTGACTGAGGACGCTGATTCTTCCAAAGCAGCCTGGTGCAGGGTTCTGGTGAGCTAAGTTGTAATCAGGACCCTGCTACCATCTTGCTCTGTGACCTGGGCATGTCACATACTCTCTCTGGGCTTCAGTTTCTCACCTGTAAAATAGGTAATAATCCCTATCCTGATGACTTTTTGGAGCCAACGAAGCAAATTTACTTGACAAATGAAACCATCCCAGACTGAAGACAATCTCCAGCTAGCCTTGGGCCAAGGACAACTACCCATACAGAGAGCTTAGTTCCTGACCCGCAAGCACCCAGTACACTACAGGAGCTTTCCTGCTTCCTGCTTCCTGCACAACAGACCGACCACAGCAAGCTCATAGCAGAGGGTTAAAGGCCCAGTCTGGAGGGTTGAGTCAAGCTCAGGGCAGGAGACAGGGGCCCCAGTCCAGGAGGGGGGATAAGGGCAGCAAGGGACTAGGTCAGGCCAAGGCCTGCTGCTGTGGGGAGGAGAGGGCGCCTGGCAAGCACTGGGCAGGGGGTGGGGGGGGCCTTTGGCGGCCACAGAGAACAAAGAGGTTGGGGTTGCCAGGATATTCTGTGGAGCTGAAGCCCTGTGGTGGGGCTGGGAGAGGGGCCGTGGTGGCCATGGGAACCATGCCTGCTGCCCCCACGCCAGCTCTCCCACCCAGACTGGGCCTCAGAGCCAGGCTGGGGGTAATAGGGGCTGCCAGGGCCCCCACTCTGTCCTCAGAGTTGCATGGCTGTCAGGGAAGAGTGCCAGGAAATGCTGTAGACAAAGACACACAAGGCACATAGTGTCACTATCACTAAGGGTCACAGGTGCACACCGGCACACAAATGTCATGAGCACACACCCAGGGCAGTCTCACAGGGTCACAAGCCAGCGTCACACAATCACACAGAATCTCTGATGTCAGCCCCAGGGCCACACCCATGATGGTCTCCCAGACACAATGTCACAAACCATATAGAATCATCCAGTGTCTGTCACAGGGTCATGCAGGCCATATATTATCAATGTTGCATATCCAATGTCACAGAGAATCACTCAGTGCCACACATTCTAACTGTACAACCTGGTATCATACTGGGTCTGTTACAGAATTGTACAATGTCACAGGATTACACATGCAATGTCACAGAATATCCCAAGTGTGGCTGCTGACATCATATACTAACCCACAGCCACAAGAGGTCTCACATCATAGTCTACCACACGACCCATTTTCAGTGTCATACTCAGTGTCACACATAGCCACATTGCTGCACAAGGCCTCACATGGTTGTCAGGACCTTGAAGCATCTCTCTCTCTCTCTCTCTCTTGGCTGCACGGAGGCTGGGTTTGTCTCTAGTCCCATGTGCACCTCCAACCTATCATACCACTCCCCACCACCCAAGTGACGGTTCCTGGGTCCCTAGGAGGTCTGGCTCCCAACTGTAGCAGAGTGGAGCTGAGCGCACCTCCCAGGGAGGGGAACTGGGCACAGGGGAGCTGCTTCTAAGGACTTCTCTGTCAGACAGGAGAGAAGCAGGGATGAGCCTGCAACAGACAGACAGAGAGGTAAAAGATACAGAGATGTAGAGACATGAGAGATATGGAGACTCAGAGACACAGAAGAGTCAGAGACCAACAGACACCATCAGGAGGAAGCTTCAGAGACAGTGAGCCATAGAAGCAGGCAGAGAGAGACAGGGCCGGGGCTTGCGCGGGGGAAGGGGTGGCAAGCGGGAGGTGGGATGGCTAGGTTTTTAGGGAAGCCACACATCCTGAGTGGAAGGTAGGGGCCATCTTGGTGAGATTTAGGTGACTAGTTTTAAAATAGCAACACCAGCCCTGGCCAGTGTGGCTCAGTTGAATGTTGTCCCGGTTACCTTAAGGTTACCAGTTTGATTCCCAGTCAGGGCACCTGCCCAGGTTTCAGGTTCAGTCCTTGGTCGGGGTACATACAAGAGGGAATGGATAGCTGTTTCTCTCTCACATTAATGTTTCTCTCTCCCTCTCCCTCTCTAAAGTCAATAAAAACATATTTAAAAATAAACAAATAAAAATAAAATAGCAATACCAGCTGCCATTGACCAAGTGCTTAAGATGAGCCAGGCCCTTCCCTAAAGTGATCTCATTTCATCCGAAGGCAACTTTACGGGAGAGACCATTATTGTCCCCGTTTCCCAGGTGAAATAACTGAGGTTTCATCACGTGTTCAGCCTCACAGCTATTCCCACCCCTGCCTGGGCCTCCTCCAGGGGGGTCGACTTACCATTTCCACAAGGCAGAGTGCAAGAGGCTGAAGTTGGAAGAGGTGAGGGCCTTCAAGTTTAAGGCTTCTCTG